ACAGATCGCGAGCGAGCAAGAATGGCACATTTACCGCATGCGCAACGATAGCCTGATCGTGGACTTCTTCCAAGGTCAATTCCGGAATCGGCTACAGTGCCTGACGTGCCAGAACACATCGACGACGTACAACACGTTCATGTACCTAACCCTGCCTGTGCCCACCGGCCGGCTTAGCAAGGTCACCCTGCAGCAGTGCCTGGACGCGTTCGTGAAGGAAGAGATCATGGAAAAGTCCGATGCATGGTGCGTATTTATTGTTCCGCGCCGGTGTACGGTCATTCAATCGAATGTTGTAGGAATTGCCCACATTGCAAAGCACTCCGTCGAGCAACCAAGCAGCTATCACTATCCCGCTTGCCGCCCATCCTACTCATCCACCTCAAGCGGTTCTCATCCAAGGGAGCCGCGGCTGACAAGATTGAGACGTTTGTCGACTTCCCGACCAAGGGATTAGATTTGACGAACTACATGCCGCCGCCGTTGCCGCCGGGCGTGGACAATGGGATACCAGGTGCCCAGCAGTTATCCTTGGACGATCCCAGACGTCAAATACCCCCTTACAAGTATGACCTTTACGCCGTCACGAACCACTTCGGCAGCCTCAGTAGCGGGCACTGTGCGTATCATCCGCATTCACGCTACTCCAGTCACAGCTCACGTTCTGAGCAGACACCGCGTTCATATCTTCCCGCAACCAATGGCTTTACTGCGACGACAGCCGGGTCGTACAGGCTGATCCCAAAGAAGTGGTCGTAAGTAATCAGCGACCTTGGTCCTGTGTAGCTGCTTATCAGAATGTCAGGGTAAACCGGCGTACGTCCTATTCTACAAGCGCGTCAAAGCTTAAACTCCAATCGGCTTGTCCATTTACCGCTGCAACGGCCGACTCTGTTTTCATCTGTATTTGTCTGCACTAAGGTACAATTCCAGTATTACGATCCGCATGTAAGATTATTAGCGTAATACCACCGCCTTGACACGCGTTTGTGAGGAGGGATGAGCTGCAAATACCCCATCCAGATAGCCTAACGTCGATCACATCCCATTAACAGTTCCGCCGTGTTGTTAGTACATTCTCAATTCTATAAATACCATGAATTATCTATCATACCCCTCTCATGCTATAGCAACGGAGGCGTCCCCATTGACGCCATTAGGAGGCTTGAAGTAGCATTTATGGCACAGCAAACTCCCCGAACCCAAATTCCCGGCTGTGGGATGAAAAGATGGCGAGAATCGTGTGTGACAAGATGCGCATGACGGTCCGGAGTCGTCGGCTGGGGTACGTTGCCCGTTCACCTGAGGGTCCGTCTCCGTCAACAGATCGTCCAGCCTCCGAGCCTTGCGCAAAAGACCGTACGACTGATCAGTTTGCACGCGCTTGTAGTTTTTGCAGTACACCTGCAAAGCCGTCTTTCGAGGGATCAGACTGCATGTCATTTGCGGGAGGCGAGCGCATACCTCTCCGTTGTCATCCATTTCACATAGTCCAAATATCTCTCGCTGCGTCTTGTCATGGGAGTGTTGGGGGCAACGAATAACTGGGGACATGAAGCCTGTCTCGCCCCTGAAGCTGACGACGACGTCTCGATTCTTATGCTTTGCCTGCGTGAAGGTTGTTAAGTACCGGAATCACTGGTTAAAACTGTGTCACTGACAGGCACGAACTCGAACCCTAGAGAATACCCCGCCTTCCAGGCGCAGGATATGTGGAACTCTCGTGTGCAGTCGAAGCAACGGAACGAAGCACCCCCGGAAGAGTGGCATATGCTGCATTCCGCAAACCACCGAGAAGGCGGAATGGCGCTAATACCTTCTATCAGCCGTAGTCGTTCAACATCCGTGAACGAGGTCTCTGGTGCGAAAACTGCACAGAGCACATGCGCCCAGTTCTGACCCTCAGTGGGTTTCAAGGCTCGAAAGTATGAATCGGAGGGGGGATTGACATCCTCCTGCCGTTTGGCGGGTGGCACGCGAGGACAGAGAATACAATGGGTATTCTAAGAGGCAATGAGCGTCGATCCGATGAGACAGCATGAAGCAACCTCACCAAGGATGACTCCTGAGATTTCACATTCTCGCAGAGATCACATACCCATGTGTCAATCTTCGCTGGGTCTATCGAGGCACCGCAACATCCTGATAACCGATGAGCAAAGCTCTATGTAATATGAAAGCTACTCGCCCGCATGGCATTGAAAGCCGCACTGCTGGCATTTAAGGACCTTTCCGACAGGTCCATTACGCTTACATGCGACACAGCGTAGATGTGGAACATTGGGAGGGGGAGTGGATGCTGCCGAGGCTGTTGTCTGTGCGATGACCCGACGTCAGAAAAGTGCAGCTCGCATGCGACGAACGCAACATACCCGTGCTCGCTTCGCAGGCGGTGCGGTCAAAGGAGTCCCGTCGCGCTTGTTCTCGGCAGCCTTGCCCTTAGTAGTTGAGGGTGGGGGGTCCTCGCGAATCGCACGAACATTCAGGTCGGCATATTTGCGCCAGCCCATCCCACAGTTATCGCATAGAACGTTGGTGGCGAGACCCTTAGGTGCTTTCCACCATACAGGGGATTCCTTGGTGCGGCATGCGGCACAGTTGCTGTTGCCCTTCGTCAATCGCTTAACAATGGACCCTTCGTCGTCTGATTGTATAGTATCCTCTTTCTTGACTACATGACCGGCGTCCTTGAGTCGATGTTCTTCACGCAATTTGCCGCTGTTCGCACCATCAGCGCGACAAAAAGGTAACTTCTGCAGTAAAGACCAACTTCTTCCACACGCCATAGTACCGAACTATCTCGGGCATAGTCCGGGTGCGCACTTCGTCACGCACAGCGCGGAGCTCGGCGCCGTGCTTCTTCATCGCTTCCTCGAATGCCGCGCATTCCTTGATACTAAAGTCCTTGTCGACGCACCGAGTCTCGGTTTTCTTCCACTGTTGGTCGAGATTAGCGATGCCCCATCTATTCAGCTGTGAATAAGTGTACCTTTTCTACGCGAACGGGGTTTCTCATATCCACGGCCGACATCTTCCGAGGATCAATCATCCATGCTTCACTTAATCGACGGATGGCTTCTGTCAGCCAAGCAACTTGATGAAGTCGCTCGAGCCTCATGGTCATCCAGTCCTTATGTTTTTCCACTGTAACTCATCGTTAGACACCCAGACGATAGACGAGGCTCTCGAACTCACGCCATGCCACTAAAGCCAAAGGGGTATCAACATCGGGTCGGGCGTGGGAATCGGACGAATCGGGTTCTCACCGTGTTCCTCCTTCATGTGAACGACCATGCTCAGAACCTCGATCGTGTCGTCTCCACCTCGCTCTGGCATATCCGCTGCTTTCGCTGTGAACGAGTCGGATCCCAAGACAAAGCAGCTACGCACGCGTTGGAATTGGAATGGAACTTGGACCCGGCGCCGGAGGGACTGTCGCTTGGTATTTGGCGCCGACGCGTGTCGCCGCGCGAGGGAAGATGAAATCATCCTCGTCTGGGCACCAAAGTGAGAGGCATGATCCCCGGATATATTGCATATGTCGTACCTATGGTGTCCTGCGCGACCGTATACTGCCTATGAAACTCGTTTTAGATGTGCGCTCGGCAGGCCTGAGGAGGCTTACCCAAAATATCGGAAGGGCCACATCCGGAAGTGCTTGATCTCCATGTTCTCCTCGCGTTCCGCTTGGGCTCGGTCTTTGCGGGGTCGTCCGCGCCCACGCGTCGCCGGCACGGTCGTCCTCGGTTTTGCCCCGCCAGGAGTCCCATGACGCGGGCCATGATTATCCACCACCACATCGTTGTGCTCTTGGGCACAAGGTGCGCATGTCCATCCGTAGCCCCTGGAGGGTTTCGACGCCAAAGGTGGCGAAACACATCCCATATGAAAGTATTTCTTGCATCGATCGCACTGGACAGCCTCGGGACTTGATACAGTTACACGTGTCCCAGGTTAGAAGACCGATGAAATGCAGAAACGGAATCTCTTACTTTGGAGTCCATTGTCTGCATGTTTCGCACAGCCTGATGTCGTCTATGAGATCCGACACCACCTCCTTTTCGGCGACGACGTATTCGTAGCGACTGATCAGCGGCTCCCGTACCTCAGGAGGTACTATAATTGAAGTGTGAATTTCGGGGGTTTTCCAGGCCTTATTAGTAAACCTACCATTCTTGACTGCTGTAGATGGAATGACTTCGAATTCCTTCTTGATGTAGGGATCAAAAAGCCTTGTGAAGTAGAACCGATCGGGACGCTTTTTCCAGCCAGCCAAATCAGATATCTTGTCCCGATGAATGACGTGGCATTTAGAGCGGAGCTGAGTGATGTCGCAGACCTCCGAGTAGATCGCGGCGAGCAGGACGCGGTTGTCCGCCACAGTTCGCTCGCTGACGTCGCCTGGCCGATAATACCAGGCTAGTCTCACCCGTGTAAAAGAGTCGCTGCTCTTGCTGATGGTCGGATCGGCATCAGCTGGTGGGAGAAATTCCATGATACGCGCCACCGAGTAGGGAGTACCATCTCTGGCTGCCCAACTGGGGGAACAGTAGACATGGTCTGAAAAATGACAGGATCAGTTTCAAGCGCTAGTCAGCTCTCGGGTAGGTATATTACCGTTGACTTTGACCTTCTCCCCGTTCTTGAGCGTGATTTGGAACGACATGTGGGCAAAAAAATCGTAGCTACGGCGACGTGAATCAAAAGTATGCGTTTAGCGAAAGAAAAAGGAGTGATAGAGGCCCACGAAGAGGTAGAATGGCGAGCTTTGCTGCGTGAGGTAGCAGAGCTCGGGGGTGTGGTGGAGGCTCAGGGTAAGATGCGAGCGAGCCGTCTGGGGGACGGCTGCTTCTTAGTTGGAACGAAACTCCGCCACTCGGCGGCAAATCCTGCTCCTGTGTATGTTCCTCATACGGCTAGCATTGTATTCGATAGCTAATGTATCGCTACTCTACCCCGGTCAGATATGTCAAAGCTCTGCTCTATGCTAATTGCTTTTTTAGGATATGTTTGAGTTCGAGACTGACTGCGGGTGAATCCGTCGCCGGTGGTTGCCGCTTTACAACATACCACGACTCAACGTATATCCTCCTCAGAATCGTTCTTCTACTCCTGTGATAACTTTACCTCAAATCGCTGGCTACGGGTTACAGGGACTTCATGTTATTCCCTGTACGATGAAACCGTGTTACTGCCTTACGTGTTGGGGAACCTTCTGTGGCGACTCAGGGCTGTCCAAGGTATCTTGGATGCCAGTATCTTTGCCATAACTCTGGCGTCCGGTGCCATCAATTGCCTGTTACCGACATCATACTTGCGTTTTGTATTGGTGCCAATATTTATACATGCGGCCTTGCTTGACGCGTTTTTGTGTTTAGACCGCACGTTCGGTGGATAACGCGGGCCACATATCTTGATCCCTTCCTCTCCTTCATTCCTACATCACCTCTCACCCTCCGACGTCTTTGTCATGTTTTGTCCGGGTCGCTACGGACCTGCATCCCACTCCCGTCGCCTATTTACTATCATGTGGGTCACGTGATTTTGTGCTTTACCCTTTACGTCTAGCCCTGTCTTGCCAGTATAACGGTGGAATTGTCTGTGTGCATGAGGACGAAAGACGTGGAATATATGGTCTAAAACCGGAATAAGCGTTGAGTCGAAGAACGGCAGAAAGTCCTTAGGTCGAATCATTAGGCGCCCGGGCTACGCGTATCAAGTGGAATTATGACTATCGCGTCGAAGCCTCTCAGCCTCGTATTCCTCGAGCGCCTGAGCGCCTACTAGCCTCCCTTCGATCTGTCGTGCCGCAGCTCATCAATGAACCGAAGATACGATCTCTTTTCCTTCTGAGATCATCCACCAATCGTCTTGTGCTTGAACATGGCTCGCGGCAAACAGTCTCCAGCACCGGTGTCATTACCGGTGGTTTCGTTTACCAGGATTGATGACAAGGAGTACAACAGACCGGGTGGGGTCGACAGTAAAACGGAAAGGACCTTTGGATGTACGTCTCTCGCTGGAAGCACGGCAACCTGCATTGACATGAGCTGTATCCAGACAATGACTTCTCTGACTTCAAGAGACCGAGCGGGTACATCCGATACATCGGTGCGTGAGCTATACAGCTTTAGGTCCATTTCGCGCCTTACCTCGCCATAGAACCGTTGGAGAGCGAGTTGGCCGTCCAGGTAGAGTATGACATGGACGAACAAGGTACGCAGAGTAGCGCTGGCTTCAGAAGGTTGCCTTTGATAGTCTTAGACCAGGAGTGGTTGGACGAGGTCAACACAGAACGGCACAACGATCAGTTGGACAAAGTATCTTATGAGATGTTCGAAGTCATCATGGATCGCCTGGAGAAAGAGTGGTTTGACCTGGTGCGTCCACCCGACCGCGAGCGACCTCCGCTGAGCTGAGCAACACATCCTGGACATAATGTCTAGACGAAGAATATACCGAGGCCCGAGATGGACCTACCCTCCGAAGACTCGACATGTGCTATCTGCGACGATTCCGAGGGCGAGAACATGAACGCAATTGTGTTCTGCGATGGTTGCAACCTAGCTGTGCATCAGGGTGCGTCCGCCGCGCACCCTCGCCTTCAGGATGAACAGCGACTGACGTCTCGCATATCAGATTGCTACGGTGTCCCTTACATCCCCGAAGGACAGTGGCTTTGCCGCAAATGCACGGTATCGCCAGAAATTCCGGTGGTGCGTGACATCACGTCGCATATATCAACCCATGCTCAGACTTTCATGTTACGCATTCAGTCCTGTATCCTCTGCCCGAATGAAGGCGGCGCATTCAAACAGACTGTTACCGGCGACTGGGCCCACCTCCTATGCGCCATATGGGTACCCGAGACCCGCGTCGCTAACGAAGTCTTCATGGAGCCGATCACAGGCGTCGAAAAGATACCGAAGCAACGTTGGAAGCTGGTAAGGACAAGATTTACTCGCCCGACCTGCTTCTTAAGTCGAGGTTTGTCAGAAATGCTCCCTTTGCGACGTTCGAGAGGGTGCATGCATTCAGTGTAGCAAGTCGTCGTGCTTCGTCGCCTTTCACCCCACCTGTGCTAGGAAAGAGAAATTCCTGATGCCTATGAAGGGCGCAGCTGGGGTAGAACCCGGTATGCTGACGTGTTATTGCGAGAGGCATCTTCCGGTAGGTGCTTCAGTTCGTTTCCGTGGACGTCGGAACTAAACGAGCGTTTACTGGATGTAGAAAGAACAAGCCGACGCTCGTGAAGCCGCCCTCGCGCAGCACCAGTCTGGCCCTGACAATCCGGATTCGACGCTCTCTCGCACGGCTCGTGCATATGCAAAAACATACAAACAGGGTGCTCCTTTGGTTCCTGCCATCATCGTCTCTCGTATCCTCCAGTACATCGCCAAAGTGTCCATACGAAAGAAAACAGAATTTGTTCATATGGTATGCAGGTATTGGAGTCTGAAGAGGGAGGCGAGAAGGGGCGCGCCGCTCTTGAAGAGGTTACATCTCGAGCCGTGGACGGCGAACAAGGGCGGCAACGGACAAACGGACGAGGAAAAGGCGATCAAACTTCAGCACATGCGACGTCTACGTGCGGACCTCGAATACGTGCGCTTGATCATTGGCATGATACCCAAACGCGAGAACATCAAGTTGGAACAAGCGCAAGCGATCCAGGAGCTACTGCAATCTTTTCTGTTCGCTCACGAAACTCCGCTGCGTGCTGCTTTCGAGAAGATAATCGCGTAGGAAGCGTTTTCAAATTGCTTTACTCAATGAGATTACTGACAAGACGTCTAGGAAGGACACACATGATCATTTTAAGAATCCAGTATCAAGGGTGGACGTGCCAGATTACTTTGAAGTCATCGAGAAACCCATGTGTTGGACCTGGATTGAGAACAAGTTGGATCGGCATGGATACTGGGACGTTCAATCCTTCAAGGTAAGGCGTCCACGTCTTCATCCGAAATTTGCCTGTTCATGGCCTGTCAGGAGGATATTCTCCTTGTTCTAGACAATGCCAAGAAGTATAACGCGCCAGACTCCCTTTTCTATCGGACAGCATCTCGTATCCACACGCATGCCATATCTATCCTAAGCAACCTGGACAGGCCAAACTCCGAGGCCGCGGCTATCGACGATCGTACTGTCGGGGACCTCGAGCCGGAAATGGATGTTGTTGAGATGCTTCTCGCTGAGCAACCGGACAAGGGCATCAAAGAAGAACTCGAATTTATCTTGGAGTCGAACCCCATAGCAGCGTTGACCAGCTACGAACTGCCGCAGGACAAACCGCCGCCACCACCTCCGCCCCCCAAGCCCAGGGCCCCCAGAAAAACAAAAACTGCCTCTGTGCGGAAGCCTATCGCTCAAGACGTGGAGCAGCTGGACGCCGCTCCTGGATTCCGGACACGACGCACGCGCCAATCTGCTGCTGCTGAGGCCAATAAAGCAGCGGAGAACGCTGAAGCGGCCTCCGCAGCAGGCGCAGCACCTGTGGTCACTGAACTCGACAACCGCAGCATGTTCGCCAACTTCGACAGTGGTTGGATCTTGGAAGACGGGCAAGGGCGAGGAGGGCGGCGGCATGCATCCAGCGGTACGCCAATCACCCAAGCAACATCCGCGAGCCGCGGCGGTAAATTGTTTTGGTTCCATCTTCGTGACGACGCTCACGCGACTGCCTTCGCTAGGTGCACGCGCAACGTCAGGGAAAGGCAGACGCAAGCGGAATACATCGCTGGCCCTCGCGACATCGGTTTCTGCGAATCAGACGTTACAAGAGGACACTGCGGAGGCGAGCTCGAGCAAACTTTCTTCCGTGTCGCCCACCGCGCCGACAGCAGACGGAGACGTTGACGAGGTTATGGCAGAGCCCGTCGACGATGTCGATGATTTGGGCGACAGTGCATCTCAGGGACGTGGCTCCGGTACGAAACGGAGGAAGGTTGAGCAACAGAAGCCAATCGTCATCGATGTTATTGAAACCCCGGCGACTAGACGGGAGAAAGCTCGTCAAAAGAAGGAAGAGAGGGAGCGTCTCAAAGCGTCGCAGAATCCCGGAGGGGCACCGGTGCAGCGACGCAGGAGGGGACCGGAGCGGGGGCGACCCAAAAAGGCTATTGCGGACTTGGATGGCTCTACTGTCATGTCCGAACCAAGCGAACTAAGCGAATTGACTGACCTGAGCGAAGACAGCCAAACCGGGCAGCAAAGCAACGAGGGCGAGGGCGAGGGCGGCGAAGGGATTGAACACGGGGTTTCCGAAGGTGGAAAGACCAATCAGCAAGACGGCGCTGTAGATGGGCAGGATGATGGCGGCGAACAGACGGCTCCAGGAGAAGACGATCACCCTCCGTCCTCCAAGGCGTCATCTGGGGATTCCGCGCAACGCGAAGAACCAGAGAAGGCTGAAGCACCAGCCGAAGTCCAGCCTTTTGATGTCGTGATCGACTACGACAACCCCCTCGAGCCTGGCACGCTGGTATGGGCCAAGGCCCGTGAGTGATTCCCATGTCTTGACTACATGAACGTATTCTGATCGTTGAACGTATCCCATGCAGACGCCTACCCGTGGTGGGCTGCCGTGGTATTCGAGGCTCCCGATCCCGCCATTCCTGCCGATGTCGATCGTGATTTCTCATGGGCATATGCAGAAGCGAAGAAAGCAGGAAAGCCACCTTTGACTCTGATTCAATTCTATGATAAAAAGAGGACGTGGTATGTGTGTCCGATCACGAAGCAAGTTCTCATAAGCACGCCGTTGGTAACTGTTGTCTATAGGACTTTTTTGCCTCCAGACAAGCTTAAGCTGCTGGGGGAGGACGACAGTCAGTGTGCTAGCATACCTGCGATTTGTGGCTGTTGATTGCTCGACAGAACTGGATATGATGATGATTGATGGGAAAAATGGAATACAGCACTTCAAGAACAAGAAATTTCGAGCAGAATGCCGGGACTCATATCGGTATGTGTCGATGGTCTCTTCGCGCAACCGCACCTCCAATCTCTGGATCCATGTAAATGGGCGAATCGCGCTTGTTACTGATATGGTACTCTTGGGATGGTTGATAGGCAGGCCAAGGCGGAGATGGAGACCGCTCAGGATCGGGCGGCGGCAGAAAGAGAGTCTGAAGAGCAGGACGATCAATCTACAAGCCCGACTAACCCAGATACACCTATGGAGGATGCTCCCGCCCCTGTCGCAGAGGATCACGATGAGCGAGGTCAAGATGAGGTAGCAGAGGTGGAACATGCTGCAGACGGAGATGCGGACGTCGACAAGGATCTACTGGATGCGGCTTCTTAGGTTTACTTGTTCTAATCTATGTATGCATAGTATGTAGCCTAGTATCTGCACCTTATGTCTTTCCTTTCTTGACGTTGGGTTGCTCCTGGGTTCCATTCCAAAGCGGGTTAAAGCGTCACAGCGCGGTGATTGTGCAACAGTGAGTCTCAAGTCGAAGACCAGTGTAACATCGAGGTATCGCACGTTCTCATATATCATAGTCAACTCGAAATACGATCTATATTATTGCAACAGCTCGAAACAATGCAAGAGTCATGGTTGGCCCGACGAGAAGGCGATGAACTACGTTTCGAGAGGTTGCCACTTATGTTCGAGATGTGTTAGGACGGGGCTTGTTAGTCGGACGAGGACGACAATCCCCTGTACTTGATTGGCTGCCTAAGCACCTTTCGGAACAAATCCCTTTAGCAATGAGGATACCTATACGCTCATAGAATCACCCCCTCACCGACGGTCCACAGGGATAGAAACAGGTTCGGATGCAGCCCTGGAGAACCACTCCTCGTCATCGGCCCTGTATTTGGCAGCGATGAATACTGTTTCTATTATTCAGTCATGGATGGTACGTACTCAGGCACATAGTCTGTCTTCAATATATGGTACATGGCCGGTGATTGATGCCAATATCAATACGAATGCCTGGATGTCTTCGAGGGGAGATCGAGTTGACGTTGTCCTCGAACACTTAAGCCCGGGGGCTCATATACTCCCTCCGTGAGTGATTAATGGCAGTGGAATACGTCGCAATCATCATACAGGACTGCATAGAACATTGCCGCGTTTCCGTTGGAACTAAGGCTGCAGCCAGCCTTCGTGGAGTGCACTGCCAACTGGATGACAGCAGAGCCAACTGTATCTGCATATTGTGGATGGATAGAATGATATCAGCTGGGAGTCTGGGTTGAGATCAACGCGTTGCACAGCTGGGCAGGAGTGGCAGCAGTTTCACAGCTTCCGCCCACAACTCTCACATCGCCGCATTAGGCAAGTGATGCACCAGATATGGCTGTATTTAGCTAAATGTAGCCTTCTAGTAGCAGTGGACTCGGTCTTAACGGGTTTCGAGTATATCAAAGGCGCTTCTGTTCGATTGCTCATACTGCATACAATGCACGGCAGAAAAGAATACATAGATAGGCACGACGAGGATGAAGGCTGAGATGATAGTCCTGCGTAATAATTGCTGGGTCTCTTTGTGATTCCGACTCGGAGGTACGTCGAATTCGAATTCGAGCCGAAGGGGTGGGGATGGGGTTGTATATGTTCTAACGACACTTGGGCCCAACAAGAAGGTCAAGGCGGTGCCAGCGGCATGATGTAGATGGGTCCCTGCAGGGTGGTGGTGACGATGGGGTATCCCAAAGAATATACTGATGCGCAAGTAGCGATGCCACAAGCGGCGTGGTGAAAATTTGGGTCGACGGGATACCGCCACGTTTGGAGGGCCGCGTGGGGATGGTGGATTCTTCTCCTGCTACCAGGAGGTAAGGTACGGGCGTTTGTCGCTGCTCAGCGTACCACAATTTGAGGCGGTGGAGCTAATTCCGCTCATTCCGTCATCGAGGCCGAGGCCTGACGGTGGGGTGCCCGGACGAGGGTCGAGTTGGTTTACCCATTGCTACGGGTGTGTGTGTCGCGTACTCGAGTCAACTACCACCGCGTTGTCACTGTTGTGGCAACACAGGGTCAGCGGGCGCGTAGGTATGCTCAATGGTATGAGATACGAACAGATGGTCCTGGACAGAAGGTTCCGAGTTCAGGCGGATACCCGTAGGGCATTGTCAGCGAGCGATCTGCGTATGTTAGAGAAAGGGCCGGTCAGAACTACAGTATCTGGCTGGCAGACTGTGATCCGTGTTACGCACAAGTACTGCTCTCGAAATGAGGCATGGGCAGAGTGAACTGTGAAGGTGATGGTGGACGGTGGGCGACGAGACATGACGGCGGCGGTTTAAGTAGCATAATCCAGCTACCCGTCGCGTCGGCGCACCCGAGTTTCCGCGATAACACGTACCCCGCATGCTGCGCCGAAGGAACAACGTGGGCAAGCTATACAACATCGACGTTCCTCAGTTACTAGAACGAGCCCGGACCGCAGCAAGTACATACCATATCCGGGACTTGGGGCGAGTCATAGTCCGAGGCTATGAGTCGGTGTATCAAACATAGGCGCTTCCGGACGGCTATGTGCATTGACTCCGTTCCGCACACTGCCATCCTGACCCAAAGCGAGGATTCATAGACACGCAGGAGCAGCGGATGTCCATTATAATAGTCGAGACAGGATCGGGATTTCAAGAAAAGCTCAGTGTAGATCGAAAGCACTGACGAAGCGTTGTAATCAACATCAACCCGCTACGTGAGCATCTTTCTCACGTAGCGCAACATTCCGCAATTGCCGCAGCAACCGAAGTCTATACCATGTTCGTAAACACCAGTTGCGATGGCCGTTTACGCCCACTTCAGTGGTCAGCATGCGGTCGTATATTCGACAGCAACGGCAGGAGTTTGCGAATCAGAGCTGCACGTTCGTATATTGCCACTGCTTTGGCCTTCCGAGCCGTCTATGTTTTCCAGTGAAACACAATGAATCACTCGGTACGATGATATCCGGCAGCACAGAGTGTGACCATGGATTTTGGTGTGGCATGCATGGTACATGGGATAGCCATAACATAGAAGAAGCGAAAGCAATGAGGGGCGAGACGATTATTTCTGAGGAGACCGATCAGCCCTCCTTCTTCAGCAAAATGGAATGATACGCACGAGGATGATACCGTCGAACCGTTGCTTGAACCATGCCATGGTGTCCTCCTTCTTTACCCGATGCGAGAAACCAATGCGAGCCTTCTTCTGCTTCCTCCTCGCCACCCGCATCCCCGGCCGGCCCATCACGACGTAGAAGTCCATACCGAAGATACCGATGCCCGGGTCGTACCGCGCACCGAGATCGATGTGCTCCTGGATACCGAAACCGAAGTTGCCGGTCTCGGAGAAGTTGCGGCGGCGGAGCTCATACTCCTTGACCTTGAGGCCGCGCTCAAGGATCTCCTCAGCCTTCGGGCCACGGATGGTGACGTGCACCGCGATCTTCTCGTTACGCCTGATGCCGAAGGTACGGACGGTGTAACGGGCCTTCGAGGTGACCGGGGTTTGACCGGTGAGCTGCTCGAGCACCTTCGAGGCACGCGTCAAGCGATCACCAGACTCGCCGACGGAGATGTCTGCAAAATTCGGTTAGCGATATGCATACAGAACAACGGACATGGTATTGCGCACTGATGACAAGCTTCTCGAGCTTGAGCTCCTTCATAGGGTTTGCGGGGGCGGTCTTGTCAGCCTAGATAGCGCATATTGAGTTGACCGCGAGCAAGACTTCAGGATGAGTCCACTGACCATGGCGTCGGCTTCGGCGTTTGTCTTGCGGCGGGTCGTCGATGAGGTCGCAAGGATGGGAGGCGTGGAACTATACAGCGTGACGAGAATGTTCCCAGGGTTACTTGGGATCTTGCGCAGGCAAATCAACCTTGTCTTTGCTTTGTCCGTCACTTCATCTCAGCACATTTCAATGCGTATAACGAAAGATGTATCGATGACTCGACCATCCCATTTCAGGATGATGAGGAGCATCCTATACCGCATATATTCCTCGCTGCAGGGACCAAGGTGGACTGGACCTGGACGACATGCCGATGTTCAGGGATCACCGCCTCGATATGTCGGGTCGAGGCTGGCGACTTCAATTCGTGCTTGCCATCGCTTTAGTTCCTCATCTCTCTATGCCTCTGCTTGTTGCAAGTCGTTACTGCACTCTGGTCCTCCGCATCCGACGTAGACGGAGCTGTGTCACGTGACCCCAGAGGCGTGCGTTGCGTCTGACTCTGCATCGCAACCTACTGCACCGGGAGCAAGTAATCCGATTCACAACTGAAGTCGGTTACAACGAATTCAGTCCTTCGTGCTACTATCTCTGGCCCGCTAAAGCAGCAAACCTTGGCCCCTACCACATCGGAATTGTCTTCTACGGTCCAATTGCCAACTGTCACTTGGCTGCGCGGCCCGATCCCATGCATGTACCGTCCCGCGGCCTTGAGAATGATGGTTGGATGGTGACGGCATGAAACTCCTTGCACGGTGGTGGCATCCGGATGAAGCAACGGGGACTCTTCGGTGACAAGGCACGTCGTAGAACTCGATTGTCCGCGTCAGAGCTCAGTACGAGACGCGCCCATTCGTATCCTTCTCGTAAACGCCGGGACTTGCCATAGCCGGGGAGCACGTACGCCACTTCCGCGGCCAATCGGCAACCACTTGGATAACAACGCCGACCTTGACGCCATGGTGGCATGTGGCAGTGTCCATTTGAATTCCGAGAAGATCGTAGCCCCGTTCAGTGAGCCTTGGAGCGGGAAACACTGCGTTCTCAGGACCGGCGCCGTAGCACGCCTACCAGAAGCTTCTCTGCGAGAACCGTCCACCGACCCCTGAGGGCGACGGAATCCCACATGAGGCTCGCTCTGTACCCCAGGTTGTGTTCGAACAAATGGATGTCAGGAAATGAACATTGAACCTCCACCGGTGTCACCTACATTCCGCGGCATTCCTAGCATTTCGACTCGCGCGGGACGTCTCGAGCCTCTTATAGACAGGCTTTCGAACGGGCATGACTGAGTATGATTGGGTGCCGGCGGCGACGGATAACCTTTTGATTCCGTCATCATGCCAGCGGCGGACTCGTCCGCCATATATAAACCGCAATGCTGGATCACTCACGGCACTTCCCCAGCCATGGACGCCTTTTCTTGGACGCCTCCCGGACCCACGGATTCGCGATCGCCGTGCCCTGCTCTTAACACGCTCTCCAACTACCATATCTTGTGTGTAGCCATTTGAACGGTCCAATTCCCGGTAGCTAACGCATGATCTAACGTCAGACCGCACAATGGGAAGAATATCTCCCTAGGCCAGCTCGTTTCTGGACTTCGGGTCGCCTACAACCTGTCTACGCCCCTCTGCTACATCCTAGCCCTGACCGGTCTCATCGCTTGCGGCACCTTCCGCTTCGTCGGGCTCGCACCCTCCTGGACTCTCGACCTCGAGAACCTCGCGCTGCACAACCGCATCGAACACGACGCCTCCATCGTTCACGCGGACGCGGCCCCCCACGCCAAATACGCGCCGCGTCAGGTCGACCCGACGTTATACCACGAGTTTGTCGCCTCTTGTCCGCCGGGTGGGATGACGAAGGAGGACTTCGTTCGGGCTCGCGTCCGTCGCGAGCTCACGCTCAGCAAGCCTCTGAATCTCTTCAGATCTATCTTAGCGGCGTCGGAGGCCGTCTCGGCCTTCGACCGTGTCCGAGATCCCCAAACGGGGACTTTCACGAAGGAGGGGCTAGAGGTAAAATTAGCTTTACCTCTTCGTGCATCTCCGAGGCTGACACGTTCCGGCCTCCCGCAGGCATGGTTTGGGGAGAACCGTTTTCCCGCTCATTGGCACGTCCCGGATGAGGTGCAGACGGTCCGCTCTATTGCCTCTGAGACGACGCAGTTCCGCAAGGAGGTCGAGGAGGGGCGGAAAGCCGCGCAGGCATCCATATGAACCGGAGAGACTTCTCCATGCTGCGTGTATCGGCTATACGCTTTTGTACTCATTCCCGGACACTCGTTTCAAACGTGTATATACGCAGACCGCTTATATGCCAATAATATCGTTGTAACTGCCTAAATCACAGGCTTAGCAGCACGACCGTGTATTTATTGCTGAATCGTCCTTGTGGGGATGGAGCGAGTGTATCAATGTTGTCCGAGAATCATATAGGCTATCCGTTCAGTGAACGATGTGTTAAGCACCTCAAGAACAGAACGCTGTGCCAGCGTCGATCCCGAGACTATAGAAGCTACTGTCAGTCAACGTCTTCTATGACGGTATACAATCACAAACTAGGTATGATGCGCGTCGTTGATGCCTCCAGACGGTTCTATGGAAGCGGAGCAGTTCGGATCTTCCCCATCAGCAGCGCACTGTGTGGTGTTGGCTGCTGCTGCGGGATCTTGGAACTGCCAGTACTCAATGCCTGACAACGTACTTTTAGAATGTGGGCATGCGACCGACATGACGATGCGTACCATGATGCCGGTACCCGATCAATTGCGGTATCAAAGTCGGTACGCTAGGGATCACTGGATGAGTTACTGGGATAACAGAGGTTAGCAAACCGCTGATTTACCCATCGTTGGTGTGCGTTACTGCCCATCACGATGAGAAACATGATCAGCACGAGGTGACGGAAGCTAACGAGAACTTCCACCTCTGAACGCGTTCGCGCCAAATTTGTCGTTCACCCAGAACGCATACGAAGGATCGCCGGTTCGAGGTTGCCCATACGTGTACATACGAATGGGGCTACACAAAGCATGAGTACATCCCGATGAGTATAGGAGGATCGACTAACCTTTTCGGGAAGTTCTCCGCTAAGGACACAGCGGCGATCGAGGACAGTGCCCCGCCGAGTGAGTGCCCGGAGGTGACGATGGTATAATCAGGGTGGGCAGACAGTTGGGAGGACACCACGGCCGTCACGTTCTTGACGACCGAGTTCCAGCTGTGGGTTTGCCGTTTCATTACTCCCACATTTCCAAGATGTCCATGTGGGCGTGCACACACCCTGTGAGGAATCCTGCGTGAACGAGAACGCCGACTTCGGGACGTGAGATAACCCGTCATTTTTGTGAATGTGGCATGGAAAAAACTCGGGAGCTTACGAGGGCTGACCACTTCTGGCGATAAGAACGGAACTAGGAGGATGTTGATGTCTGTGAGGGCATCCGCGAAGTCGGAGCTGAGGCAGCTTGAGCGTGACGAAGTGACCGCAATCTCGCGCATACTCACCTACCCCGCAGAGCCACCACTATTTCCTTCCTACACGAAGGATGTGAATGCGAGGGGCACGGCGAATAGACTGCGAGCCTGGCGTTACCTACTGTCATCCCTTGCAATGAATCCTTGAGTGTCTATCACCGCAGAGCTGAACTAGAGAACCTCCTCGTATAAGCGAACGACAAGTTGAATGAATACCCAGGAAAGTACCTCTTCAATGAGAGTATTGCCATTCGGTTTCGCACAAGTGTCCAAATACGCTGACGACGCGTACTGGAAGTAGAATTTCAGTTCATCAAACTTGTCTGTAAACGCCCAGTTCAGTTCGACACGAATCACAGAAGATGCTTGAGTGGTGCTTGCCTTCCGCGATGCTAGGAAGCAATGCCCTCGAGGAGAGACTCAACGGAGAGGCTGTGACGGCTGCAAGGAGACCACAGAGGGCAAAGAGAGTCCAAGGACGAATCATCTGATACGCGGGCAGCTTTGCTCTGACGGAGTCGACCTTGCAGGATCCGACGACGGCGAGACCACACCCAGGGACGCCTTATAAGACCGCCGCGCAAACCAGTCTCGAGCGGCTCGAGTGAAACACGAGCACGAACATGGTGAGAAGCCAAGGGATTTACCCAAACACGGGCTAGCCAACCGGAAATGCGACCTTTGATCGGAGTTCGGAGGACGCAAGCGACGTCCGTGAGGCAGAGCAGCCCGTTCTCATGAGAAACAGACTATAAAAACGGGCATATTTGTATTGGGAACGGCCGTTCGCAGGGCCAACGTTTGGGACCGGTAGGCTCACAAAAAGCAAGTCTTGCCGGTGGATGCGACCTGCCGGTACGCTCGACGGTCGTGGCGGCGGACAAAGGGCGGAAGCGACGACACGGAGAAGGGAGAGAACCAATGACGTTCATTAACGACTCTGCAACATGCCGGATATGGTATAATATTCACACGCATTAATGACTCTGGGAGAGGGGGCATGCAACTTCGAGCGCCGGTTGACGTGATGGTCATCCATTGCCTATCCTCAAATTCAGATTGCTTTCGTCATACTCAGGCACATGATACTATCGGTCACGGATTTGATCGAATACTGACGAACCCGTGTACACACACTGGACCGCTGATTGCAGCACTACTGGCATGCAGACGAGTGTTCACGTTCCAACTTAAGTATGCTTAGTGTCACAGCCATCTGAATTGAATGCAGGTAATGAAGCGCGGAAGGTAAGGAGAGCAGCTTTGGATAGTGGAGCGAGCGTGCTGCGCCGGACGGATGGAAAGCTACGACGAGCATGAGCAAGATGACATGTACGAGCGGTACAGGCGCGGATTATCCTCGTTACCGGTATGCAAGTAGCGAAGGCGCGCATTTCAGGCTTCGGCCACTTATGAGGTTGAAGCGCGTTTCGGGGTGTCATTCGTCTGCGCTAGAACGACGTTGGGGAGATAGTCGGAGTGCGTCGAGGCTAGTGCGTCCGTGGCAGCAGCGTTGGCGGAAGGTGTTCTTGTCAGACCGTGATACATAGTAGTGATGCCAAGGCCGGCACGGCTCACGAGGAACGCGCACATCTATTTGCAGAGATAGACAATCATCATAAGCAGGATTTGACAGCGATGGCAACAAGGCGGGAACAAGCTAGGGTGCAATCAATCGCAGAAGTCGGGACGGAGGCATCCGTCCTCAAGGCTCGAAAGGGCGCAGTTGATGCGAAGAAAGACGCGGTGCGGTTTAGATGAAGGGATTTTGTACGAAAGTCGGCTGCCTTCGAGCATCATTTCGGTCTCGGCTTCGGGCGCTGAGGGTTGTAGCTGCCAGGTGGTTTGTCCGGTTTTCTGCAAAAACAGGCAGTATGAGCGGGCGAATTCTCATTGACCGTGTGGCCATATCCTCGGGGAAATGAGGCGTACCCTTGGTCCACAAGAGGCCAATCGTCAGCATTGCTGTCGCCTCCTGACCTTGTAAGCTGTTGTCTGCTCGAAGAACAAGAACAATGCATGAGCATAATGGAAGCACTGCAACAGCCCACTCACCGTGGTGAGAGTCGGTTTGCCATGGGAGTAAAATGGAGAACGAGCAGTGCCTCTGGTTGGCGTCCATTGCGCAGCTTAAGTACGCTGGCGTTCAAAGGCACGCGGCGGATGGCTGTTGAGCTATAGAGAAACGTGATTGAGAAACGCAAGAAAAAGAATCACACATAGCCCCATCGAGGATGGAATGGACATTAACCGAGGCGAGTCGCCAGCTCCAGCGTCGATGATAAGAACGGCATTTTGACGTTACGGCGCCTATGCCACTGACACACGCCTGAACATCGCGGTACATGGACGACATGTATGTCTCACATCGTGCCGGCCAGCGGTGAAACTCTCATAAAGCCGTGATGGAGCAACCCGGACGATAGGTAGGGCAGAACTCGGCGATGAACGGCCCCGGATTGAATTACTCCGGTGCAGTGCGGTGCATGCTCCGATACTAAGGCTCTCGCAGTCTATAGCGATACGAGGCACAGCATCGATGCTGTGAGAGCTGTATCCCGCAGCACAAGTTTAGTGAGCATCGCGTGGGAAAATAGTGCGTAGACTGGTGAGCAGAGAGGGTCAGATGGCAGGCACGTCGAGGGTTCTCGGCAAAGCGAGGCAAGAAGTCATAGTGCGTACCCTAAGACAGGAAGTCAGATAACATACAATAGGATGTGCTGTGTTCATAGATGACGAACATGGTGAACGAATCCAACGCCGCGTCCCTTGGCAGTGAGATGGAACTTGATACACGTGCTTGCTTTAGAGCCCATGGCATAGATCTTAAAATTCGATAGAGACATCCAGGGTCATAGATGGCGGAAACAACGCTGCGGTGCCGGTGTCCGCGGGTATAGTGAGGGGTACACAGACTTCTGGGCGGCCCGAAGGCAAGGATCGACGCACGGTATCCAAAGCTATAGCACAAAAGTGTTCTTATTATTCATATTTGCGGGATGTTGTAGTATGAAGCCATGCAACCGAACGATACGGCACCGGCATGCACGGTATCGTGACACATCTGTAAAACCTCAACACACCGCGCGCATCCTTATTCAGAGTAGAGCTTACCACGTTTGCATGGAGATTCCAAGACCGTACAATTGCGGTTACGGGGTGTGGAGCGTACCGAAAAATATATCGTTGCTGTTGTTGCTGTGCTAGCGCAGATCTTAACGAATCCGCGTATGTACGATGGCATTACTCCAAGAACCTGAGGCAGAACATATGCAGTTGAATCCATAGCCTGATGAATGAAAGCTGTTCAATTGGTCGAGTCGTTACTGCGTCGAGACCGGCGTTCCCGAGCTTGCAGCGGAGAGGAGGCGCGTGGTCACATGGTCGACGGCGCGTGCTTCCTACACGCGAGGCAACGCGGGTTACCCGCCCGCCATTACGCGCGACGAGTTACGCTAGTTGTATACCTATGGGTCATAGTGATGCCTCGAGCACAATGCCCGGTATGCTTGGATACATTTGACCTGCGCTCAGAGCAGCTACGAACATTGAAAAAATGTGGTACGCTGCTTTCGTCGTGGTTCTTGTTCTCGTCGTCTGACTCATCTATCCAGGGCATACCTTTTGCAAACGGTGTGTCGAACGCTGGGTAAGGGAGAAGAAGGATTGCCCAAATTGTCGCCGCCCAAGCACTCTACGCGACATTGGACCTTGTAACATCTTTATCGAGTTGGTGGCCTCTGATCCAATCGAACCGGAAGAGGATGAGGTCATTCCGGATGCCGTCGTGCGACATGCAAATCATGTAGCTCAGCGAATGGCGCGAATGGGTGCAGGGTCCGAGCTTCGGAGTGTTGCCAGAGCTGGCGAAGAACTGTCTCGCGTAGCAGGCGGACTCGCATCGAACAACGTAGAGGTGAGCCACAAATTCCGAATAACCTACCGGAACACGCTGTTCATGGGTATTGCAATTTCATATCAGAGTACACTACTGCGGGCCATCGAAGATTTCAAATCACGCATCGCACCCATGTTCGCGGAAGCTGCACGAGATCGGGATGCGAGGACGGAAATGGACGCGCAGCTCAGGGACGCCCGCAAGGAGGTCAGGGATCTGAAGAAGAGAATAAAAGGGATGAAAGAAGCTGAAGCTGGTCAGCTCGATCTGCAAGTAGTCCTCGCAGAGACCGCGGAGGCTGCCGAGCGATTGGAGCAGCGATGTGCGCGGCTCCACCACGAACGCAACAGCGCTGTCGAAGGAGCAAAGCGGTGGCAGGAGAAGGCACAGGGACTCGAACGACAGAATCAGCTGCTCCAGGAGCAGGCGTCAGACGCGAAGCTACGGGCAAAGCGAGAGGAAGAAGCAAAGTGGGCTGCTCTGAAGGAGAAAGACCAGGAGATTGCGAGCCTGAAGGTCACACTCGTGCGGCATAAGAAGATCGTGCGAATAGCGTTCTTCTTTATTCGTCTCTTACTGATGCATGTGACAGAGCGAGGAATACAAGCAGAAGGTCAAGGCTGCGAAAGAGGAACTTAAGCGTATGAGCTCGGGATCCGAGGTTGCAACAACACACAGGGCATGGGCTACGCCCACGGGCAAGGAGAACATGCCGTCCAATGTAGCTGCGGTACGCCGGTTCTGTTGTGTCCCCGCTGATATAGCCTTGTTAATGCCTACGCCCGCCTTAGGAACGTGTAGACGCCAGTCTCGATGTCCTCGCTGAAGGCGTGTCCATGTCGGCCGTATCGCCATCCCGTGAATACATCACCGGGCCGTCATCGAGTTCACCGAGAAAGCTTTCAACTGCGCCCAAAACCAAAGACCAGGCCGATGCGTCCACGAAAGCCCACGGGGACCTTATATGGCCAGATCAGGCGGCTTACCGGGCAGACTGGACTTTGCCAGGGCCAACGGCCAAGAAGAAACGGAAAACGACAGATGACTTGCTCCCACCAGAGCAAAGGGCGTCTTCGTCCACCATCAAGCTGGACAAAAACGGGCGTCCCCTGGGGCAGGTGCAATGCGGACCCCGGCACACGCTGCGGATCCGCGGTTAGCGCAGTTGATGTTCTCATTCGGATTTCATGTGTAATGCCGTTTTATGCAAGCTATGTATTTGTTTGCAGGAAGCAACATTCCCTCCCATACAGCTTTTACGGCGACTGGTCACACAACATGATCGATCAAACTCTTACAGTGGTTTGACGTACGTCGGGCTGGGACGCTTACTCTTCTGAGCGGCGTAATTGGGTGCCGCAGTCCAATCCGCAATCTCAGAACCGAGACTCGTGGCAAACGTGCCGTCAGAGATGAGGCTCAACCCAGCGAGCGATGCGCCGGCAGAATCGAGGGACCACAGCGATATCGCCAGAGTGTTTTCCGCGTTCGGGAGTAGGATCCTGCGTGTCGAGCATAAGAATCAGTGAAGAACCAAACCAGACAGCCAGCAGGCGCCGCACCCAGCAGGTAACACGAAATCAGTCTGAGGGCTGTGCGATGATCAGCAGGGGTGGCGAGGCTCCAAATGTTGAATTCATACCCGAAGTTATTGATGTATTTTCCCAGCATCCACCCGTTCAGATATATCTGCACGCGGAAGTTGGAGGTGATATCGCTCGGGGCGATGGACAGCCTAATCGGCACGTCCGTGTGGCTTGGGAGGTTCAGATTGAACTGAGTGCGGTAGAAGTTGACACCGGGTCCGCTCAGACCGCCTCCGGAGATCGCAAGGGGCGATCCCGCCGCCCATGCCGCGTCAGGGAAGCCCGGTAGATGAGCGCCAATCCTCTCAGCGTAGAGTCCGCCTTCGCTAAATTAGAGGCATTATCAGAACACACAGAACGCGGATGCAGGGTCTATGACATTCACTTCATATAACCTCGGAACGTATCCGGCGTTCCAGCAGCGCCTCCCTGATCGATAATAATATCAGCGAAGGTGCTGAAACATCTCCGCCATGACATACCTGATTTCCTTGTAGCTTCCACGTATTGAAGGTCGTGTTACCTCCGATGATGGAGTATCCTCGAATGCCCCGTGGTTCTTTACCACTGTTCGTGCTCGTCTCCACGATCCCTGGAGCACGTTCTTAGCCATTGCTTGCCCTCAGGGTGCGAAGAGCCTACCCATGTGATCTTGAAGAACTGTCAAAACGTTGTCCTGACCAATTCTCAAGGTACCGTTGGGAATATTCCATATATCGGTGGTCAAGCTGACGGTGGAGTTGCCTTGGCTGGAGCCGAGGAACACGCCGTTCAGCCAGGTGGAATAACCATGGCCGAAGCCGCTCTGAACCGTCAAATTTACGGCTTGCTCCTGCCCGGAGGCGTTGAAGTGACCACGCCAGATTAGGTTGCCGCCGTAAATACTGAAGTGTCAAATTTATCAACCGCGCTGTTCTAGCCCTCGAATCAAGCTGCTAAACGCACCCATACTGCTGAGAGTAGAGAACCTTATCTCCAGCGAGCGGGGCAAGGGTGTACTGAACAACAGGATCAGAAAAACACCTGGAATTGAGACAGAGGAAGGAGCATACGTTCGTGGCTGTCTGACTGCATGTGATGAAGCTCGAGTCGTCGAATCCGGGCTCAACCTCGGGCAAGCTGTAGAAAGGTGGGCAAGCCATATCATGAGATAAACACTTGGATGCGAACCTTCCGATAACCTTCCATGAACCGAGACTGGGTGGCGTGACCGTCTTCACGGTCCCTAGAGTGCCTTTGTACGAGCCATACGGGGTTCTGGAAACCGGGACGCTTTTGCTGTTCCACGATAGCCTCGACACAGCGGATGGCGCGAAGAACTCGATGCTCGTGGTACCATTGTTATCGCCCGTTAATTTGAGGGTGCCCCCGGACGTAGTAGCTGTTCGGACGAGGTACGGCCCGCCAACAAAAACGCTGCATAGAATCGGAGCGATGAACACCGTTAACAATCAGCAACGAATGGCGGGAAACGGATCTTACGTAGCATTCGTCCCGACTCCGAAGTGGCTACCAAATGGTCCACTTCCCGCGAGCACGGGCGCGCTCCAGGTGAATGCTGCGTCCTTGTCCATCAGAATGATTACGGTTTGTTTTTGACCATGATTGAATTTGATGACACCGAGTCCATTCAGGACATAGTTCAACCTCAACGTAGAGTTCGCAAAACGCGACGAAGCCCCCGGTGCACTCGAGAGGTCTACCCTAGGTGCGGACGCGAAGGAGAAAACCGTTTCTCCGGTTTCTCCCTTAGGCGCGTAGAGTATCAGGAAGTCGGTCGAGTCCATGGTGGTCCATGTCAGAATCCTTCGGAGATACATGAGTTGCAATCGAAGGCCAAATGAGACAACCCACTCAGCCGTCGTGTATATTATCTTCGTCTTCTGCGAACCGAAGATATAGTCGGTAGGAAGAATTTTGTATTCGCGCCCGGAGATAGTCAGTGAGCCGTTCTGCGGCACGGTGAATACGCCTTCTAGCGTGTTCACGCTCAATTGGCCCGATGTTACAGCAGTCGAGCTAAACCAATGCTAATCAGCACAAGGACGCATGCGGTACTCTCGTAAGCGTACGTTGAGTCAGAATGTCTGACAAAGTAGAAAGCTGCTCCCGTGTCGGGGTTGCGCAGCTCGACAGCATACAGCAAAGAGTTCGTGGTGTAGTTCGTTCCATTGCCGTTGAAGTTCGATGCAAGCAGGTCCGGAGAAACGCGGAGAAAGTAGCCTGAAGGCCCATGAGGAGAGCACTTGAAAGAGGAGGCTGGACGACATCAATGGCCCATGACCGCACCTTGCGTTCGCATCTCGTTCATCTTTTGTGTAGCAATGCGATTCTCGTTGATTCCTGTCGGGATTCGTAAGGAACTGACTTATGCAGGCGCCCGGAAAGGACCTACCAGCACCGTAATCGTAGCTTGAATAGACCGTTGGCTCATACGTATGTCCCCAGTTCGTACCGCCAAATAACATGTAGATATTCAGGATAGTGGCAGTTTGGGCGCTGCATGTTCACATGAGCCTTCGCGAGCAGCCTGAGGGGTCTGGGTCCTACATACTAGTTTTCCTTGTAGAAAATGTCCTCTGCATGATAATCACAGATTAGTCTGGTACATCTCGAAAAAGCATGGCCATATCCCACCATAGTTCGGACCGGTCAAATCGTACGCTGGGCCAATATTAACATGCAATGAACCTCCAACAATGACGCGAACGCACTGAACCTCTCATATCCCGTTCCACCCCTGGTTGTCCCTTGCCACCCCTGCAGCCAACCTCCGCCGAACTGCGGATGGCATTCATGAATCTCAGTCATAATTTGCGCCTAAACCTCACAATTCCTACCTCGGCAAGGCACAGCGGATTGCTAGGAGCTACGGCTTTGTGGCCACCATAATAGTATGAATACGGCTGCACTTGGTTCCAGCGTGTCGTGCCTTGAGGATACGAATCACCACTAAAATTATAGTGTGAGCTGGGATCACAAGTCAGACTGTGGGTACCCTCACCAGTAAATATTGACGTCGCCCTCGCCCGGCTGGTCCGGACTGAAGTTACCCGTGGTTCCTCCATGCTGGTCGTTATGGATGATTGCTGGATGTGAATCAGAATTGCGTATCTTTATAGACGATCCGAGATACCCACGGACGACAACGCCATTTGCGCGGTGCAAATCAATGACTTGCTGCATGTACGGACTCCGGGTCGATCCCTCGCTAAACTCGTTTTCCGCTTGTACCAAGATAATCGGGCCCCCGTTCGTGACTTGGTTCTTCGCAATGATCTTGGATACCGCAGTGAGATATGGGACCCAAGCCTGATGATAATCCTCGGCATCCGTCCTCAAAGCTCCTTCAATATTACCAAGCCACCCGGGGAAACCTCCTCCCGACGTCTCAGCGTCTGTTGTCTGTGATTAGTGATCTATTTCCAAGCGTGAGGTGAGACGCACATACTGATGTACGGTCCAGGGCGGGCAATGAGCCACAGCCCTGCGTCCTTGGCGTCGTCGATGAACCTCTGAAGATCCCGGTACGTCCCGGCTTGCCAGTCACCTGCACCCCCATTCGTATCGGGAGTCGGGAAATGAACGGCCCAATCCACATAGAACGAGACTGTGTTGAAGCCATTTGCTTTTATCTTCTGGAAGACATCGGACCACAGGTTAGGGTTTGGTAGTCGCCATGGGTGGTATTCCGCTGAGAGAATGAAGGTGCGGACGCCGTTGATGAAAAGCGAATGCTCGTCCCAAGTGACAGCGTTCCTCAAGCCCGTCGAGTTGCGTGGTAGTAGCTGCGGCGTGGCAAGCGCACACCAGACGGTAGAGAATAGTAGGACGCTCGCACCGAAGAGATGCGAAAGCGAGGCGACCATCGCTGAATGGCGGCTAGGTATACCGTGCACTTCTGGGTTAGCGTCGCATTATATGCTAGGGTCGTTCGCCTTGGCCGTTCCTGGATTTCTGGAGCCGGCGCGAACGAGCTTGCTATAGGAAGAACCATGTGACGTCGAACGCGGTCCGCCCGAGCTGCAGAAGCACCTACCCAAAGACACATGTCCCTCGAAGAAGCGTCGAGGACGATGTTAACGCGAGACGACCATAGGATATACGCATCAGAAGAGGGAAGTCCCTCGTGGAACAAGGGGCGTCATGGGCTCCCATAAAACGCCCGAACTTCGGCATATCAGGAAGGCGGTCCGCTCGGGATCTCTGTCTGGATGTACGGCTACGCGTGTACGCAATTGAAAGCAATTCACTGCGAAGAGGATGGTATCAGACTCCGATCCATCATGCCAACCGTGATTGTACTTCAAGGAGTCTCGATTTCAGGCTGGTTGCACACCGAATGGTCGACGCTCCGTTGGAGAATCTAGAGAACCCGCCCATCGCGAGGATATCTCGGCCAATCCGTGACCAATGTATCTGGCCAGTAGATCGAGCATAATTACACGAACACAGTGTTATTTGAGCGCCAAGCAAAGTCGATGTGACGGCCGTGGTCAAGACTGAAGCTTGAAGCGCAGTCCGGTCCAAACATGCCTTTCTCCCCGCACACGACCGCCTCAGGTCAGGTTACCGCTATGAGACAACCTTGGCATACTCAACGATCTTGAAATCCTTAGGCTACATACTTCCATCAATACATTCCGCGCCTCCTTTCTATACGTGAGAGGCCAACACCAGTTCATCGTCCGCCGCAGTCGTCTCAGCATAACGGGGCAGATCAGCCAACAGTCGACAGCACAACTCCAAGCTCCGTTCACCGATAACTGGATAAAGATTATCCTAGGATATGCGAGACACCGACGCTTATTCACGCTACGCATAGAAGATGCTGAGGTTCCCGGAGGAGACTGGGATGAGGTCTTGCGGAACCCGAGGATAAACCGTATGTCGTCAAACCCCAACCGACATGTACGAGAACGCTCACGATGCCTCTCATTATTTCCTTAGGACGCGTGCAGCCGCAATACCTCGCGTATATCCTGTCCGAGTTGGTGAAACGGAAGCAGGCGGTATACGATCCACCGCGGCAAACACGGTCGGTTATCCTGTACTGGCGGCTTCCCGAGGAGTGGGCAGAAGTGCTGCACGAATGGGTAAAACCGTCGGAGTCTTGGTGTCTCGCCGACGATCTGATCTCAATACCACAGGCAACCAATTCAGGGCAGCTCAACACGATCCTCACGTACCAGGAAATTACAGAACCTCCGGTTCCGTCGCCGCTGTCGAACGTGCCTCTTCAAGTTCTACGCCAGGCGATAGGCATACTCTCCAAGAATGGACGAGCTCAGACGATTTCGGTCGCAGACGGCGAGGGCGTGCGGTTCTTTACAGGCCAGATATAGCTGAGGCAATGAAGGCTGAGTTTTGGTCGTGTATGTATCATTTTAGGTACGTTCGTCGTCTAATATTTCGTGAATCGTGAAAACTGAATTAACGATGGTGCCGATCCAGATAGTGATGTATATTTCTGCAATGATCATCGCCATTTTCCATCGAAACTTCTTGCTCGCGCTTCTCAAATGCGAACGCGAGAGTTCGCTACTTTGGGATCGCCATTCGGGACCGAAAAACATTCGCATGACCTGCCGTTCTCTTGAATCGGCCCACAGACCGCGTCGTGCAAAACTCGATCGGCCGTTTCGCGGTTTCCTGACCCGAAACTGCGATGCACTCAGACTATGGCAGCTCATGCCTGGCCCGACGAAGGTGTATCGCGAACGGTTCGCTTCTGATCGAGGAGAGGACCAGGGTTCGAAGGTTCGGAATCATGCAAAGATATCGAGGTGCGCACACGCTGTGATGTACCGCGGTCGGGTCCTCTGACATGTGTAGATCATCTTGTTCTCGAATGATGGCTGCATTTTCTACGCCAGCTACTCCGAATGAACAGTCTCTTTCAGGGGTACTGTAACGCCCTGGAGGCAATAGCCAGTGTCCTGTTGGTGTATTGTCAGGGAAAATGTTGGATGAGTGGGACACCTGCTGGTTGTTACTGCGGTCAGTGTATGCAGCTCTGCACCTTGCTGTGTGGTATGACTCTCGGGTCCTTTACCCACTCACACTGGCCTGGTCTGTTGCGCTCATTCCAGATACATCTTCGAGGTCCATGCACATACATTGTATACTATAAAGAGGGAACATATAGGGGCAGCTATGTATCAGGCATCCATAGTATCATCTATCCATTCAAAATCATCATCGCCTCCATCAAAAAGCACATCTTTAGGTCGTTCCTCTGGCCACAGACCATCACCTTGCATGAGCCCCAGGAGGTCAAGAGATTGAACCTCTGGCTTGAAGTGCTTGTAACCTTGAAGGTGTTGATCAACACTGGTACTGGGCCTTATAGGAGTGTTTGCTAATGGACGCAGGGGCCTTGAGAGAAGCTGCAGAGTGCCTCCCCCTTGAGAATGAGGTTGAGTTCCCATACTGATCTGTGTTGGGATTAATGAAGTGTAGAGTTGGCTGGCAGGGGCTGGTAGGTCACTGAGCAGAAATATCTTGGCATCGGAATGCTCATCACCGCTATCATCTGGGTGATCGAGCCTCCTCCACCTCTTCCTTGGGGATGCAGATGTGTCGGTGGGTTGCTTGGGTGCAGGATGGATAGGCAGAGAGAGACTGATGATGTCTGGTGGCAGGGATAATGGCACAGCTGATGGTAACCTGTGTGATGGTGGAATAGGATGACACTGCGGCTGCAGAAATAACTGCAAAGAGGAGGATGATAATGCCTGTCCAAGTAGTGCACTATGGATGCTAGCAAAGTGGGTCATCAACATGGCCTTGCTGAAGCATCCCTTGGGAAAACATCCTGTTGTACAAATTCAGTGAGGCTCCAGGGATAGAGGAGGCCGTTACACACCCTGAACAGGACATGGAAGAGGTGTCTGTGGCATATGGACCATATCAATATGGTAGATGAGGGCCTCTTCTGAGTCCAAATCATCCACAGAACAGTCTTGAATGGCACACTCCCATGTATCCTGTTCAATCACTGTAATTAGTATCTGCCAGCCCCTAATGCACTGTCTGCATACACTGGCAACTGCCTCTTGACAATGCTGAACAAGATGCTGGTGAAATCAAATTAGTTAGGAGTTGGAAGACTTTGTTGCATGCAGCTCACAGCTCTGTAGGTGTTCCAGCAGTTGAGAATCACATCACAAGTCTTCCACGAGCATCTCATCTCTATGAGTGTAGTCATAGCAATAGATGGAACAGATGCCAATGCTAGAGTGCTAACTCCTGTACTGGTCATGAGAGATGATGGCTGGATTGCTGTATTGAAGATGTGCTGGGCAAAGAAACAGTTTGAGAGCAAGTTTGAGGTCAGCCGCATTTTTTCCTTCAAAAGTCACATGATGGTGGGAAATCCAACTTGCCGCTGGCGGATAGATCTTGTTTATAGACAGGAAGGTGTCAGGGCACACCTCCCACACTCGCCTCATGCCCCCATTGTTCCCCTTTTGGTTCTGTTTCTCTCCCCATTTGTTCATTCCTCCTAATGCTTCCACTTCCCTATTTGGCTACACTCTCCCACGCCTTCCTAGGCTTCCCATGCACTCCTTTTGGCACTTCCCCTGTTTGCTCCGTCGCTCAGCGCTCCTAGGGCCTCCGCGCGTCGCGCGGCCTTCCTAGGCCGTTCCACTGGTCACGTGCTGGGCACCTGAGGACCCTCCTCTTCTCACATTGGACCATCCCTCGTTTCACTGATGGATTATTCAGCTACTATATAGTCGCCTGTCGCACCAGGGAGCAACTCAGACTTGACCTCTCAATTGCTTCCCTGCCTTGTGCAACAGGTATGTGTATTTTCTTAGGATTTTGTATATATATTCTCAGCTGCTTCCCTGCCTTGTGCGACAGCATCTCCGCTGCCATCCTGAGGGATCCACGCTGCTCCTAGGAGGTCCAGCACATACCCTGACACCCACCACTGGCTGGCATTAGTCCGCTGCTGTCAGAGTACGCGCTGGAGCTCCTAGGAGCGGCGCAGATCCCTGTTACGTGTCGATCCAGACCGACCTACGCCGATCCGCTCCACCGATTGTCACCGATCTACACCAACCTTCTCCGATCTGATCTCCGACCCTTCACCGACTTCTTCGCCGACGCCGATCCCGCCTTTCCCGTTTTGGTCGAGGGCGGGATACGCCTATCATATGCACTGGGCCACCGGCGGCTCAACGCCCCGGTGGTTCCAGATCTTGAACGGATTCAACTCTGACTTTCCTGATTCCTGTTCCCTTTGTCTGACATCATAGCTTCCCTTTGTAGACTTTAGTTTTCCGTCGCTTGCGACGGATCCCTCGGTCCGATCTTTCCGCCTCTTCCTTAGATATGTTCCCTTTGTGTTCCATGTGTTATCTCTCGTCTCCGTATGTTCCCTTTGTGTGCCAAACGGTGCCTCCGATCTCCGACTCTCCGATTTCACCATTGTTCTCTTTTATGTATATAAACCGTCAAACTGTACCGTAGATAGTCAGTTCGAATATCGACTAAGCTTTGCTCTCTTCCTCCTGCGGACTCAGAGCGCGTAGCAGCCTAGCGCACGAGCTTAGGCTTGGTCCGCATCCGATCTCGACTTCACCAACGATTCCGACTTATCGACTTCACGCCGACACGCCGCTCCGACTCTACCCCTTGAGTTTCTCCTTCTATTTCATTCTATTCTTCGTATATACGTTTTGGACTTCGGTCATCCGACCCCATTACCTCTTGCTTGTATCCAATCTAGACAATCCCCCAGGACGGCGGTGGAGACACTGTCGCACAAGGCAGGGAGGCAACTGAGTATATACATGAAGATACGAGGGAGAATACACATACCTGTCGCACAAGGCAGGGAGGCAACTGAGAGAACAAGTCTGGGTTGCTCCCTGGTGCGACAGGCGACTATATAGTAGCTGAATAATCCATCAGCGCAACGAGAGATGGTCCAATGAGAGAAGAGGAGGGTCCTCGGGCGCCCGACATGTGACCAATGGAGCGACCTAGGAAGGCCGCATGGCGTTGTCCCGCCCCTAAAGTGAATAGGTGCGGAACTGCTCGAAAACCTCCATTTTTTATTCATTCTGCAGCCTCTCTGTTATGTAGTAGTATAGAATCTAAGTAGAATAGACCAAGCATGTACCTTAAACTGGCCCAGGAAAGTTTGACCATATTAGGAAAGGGATTACCAAGCGGTGCCCAATCTTAGTCAGCACATGACAAATCATGACTCGGCTGAGTCAGAAGCTGACTCAGCACTGCTAAGATTACTAATATGACTCAGAAAGCTGGCCTAGCTAAGGAGTATAAAATGTAGCCGAATCGGCATGAATGAGCAATCAATCAGTTCCCCCCCGAAAGTACTCAGCAGTCGTCTGCTAAACTCTCTCTCTGTCAGGACTCGAGTGCCTGGACAGCGTCCCTATCGACTCTCTATCGACCCTATCGACTCTACACAGCCACCGTAGGCTGTTCGAAACCGTTTCCCAC